GCTTTTGTCTTCACTTTTTAATTTACTTATTCAGGCTGCGCGGTTTGATGAACGATTGAGTTGTAAGCGGATAAGAAAAGATGAAAAAGGGAAGATAATTGTACGAAGAAAAATGAGAATAATGCCAAAAGGTTCGAAAAAATTATCGGTCGATTAAAAGAATAAATCTTACATTTTCTAAAAATCATCTCGAAAGCAACTTTTTCTCACACATCACAAAAATTGCTTTGACATTGCGAATATTACGCAATTATATAAAATTGCAATATAAATAAGAAAAACCTAACGTTAAGAATTAAGACGATATTACACGTTACTAGGATTTACTTCCTCCGGTTTGTAACATCAAAGATCTAAAACTCTTTGGCACTACTATAGCTAATTAAGACGCCATTAGATAGGCAGATGCGAAAGATTAAGATTCGCGAAAGAATAGGACGAGGAGGCGAGCGAAGAGGAAAGAAGCAGAGAAAGAACCGAAACGAAGGTGAAGAAACGCGCATTGGAACTGTCGGGTAAAGTCGCGGAGAAGGGGGTAGAGAGGTGGGAAGAAGGCAGACGAAAGAAAATCACGCGTGGTTCGTCATAAGAGGAATTCCTTTGGCGATACTGGAACCTCTCTCTCTTGCTCTCTCTCTCTGCACCTTCTTCTTCTTTCCTACTCTCTCCGTTCCATCTCTCCCGTCTCCCCTGGCCCAGAGAGACCCCGTGCTTTTTTACTGGTTTATGGGATTTTTTTCACGCGGACCGCCGAGTCGTACATCAGAGAGGGCTGACTGTGAATCTCCTCTTTTCTCTCTTCCTCCGATACGTTCGGACTCTCATGCGCGTTCCGTCGAGAAAGTAGAAGAAAGAGAGAAAGAAAGAGAGAGAGAAAGAGCGGGGAAAAGGGGAGAAACAATAAAAAAGAGCAAGTGCCTGCCGCCATAAAAACAACTGAAAGTATTAAAAACTTTAGGCCTTTTACTGCCGAGCTGCCTCGAAGAAGCACGGTCGGATATATGCGCGAGAAGTCAACGACAACGATCACGATGCACCAAGATGTTTCGCGGCGATGATACTCGCGCAATTAAAATTGTTAAACATTCAAGTTTAATGTTAAAAACGCGCGTGCATGAATAGTAAAATTATCACTGTTAAGTTAAGTCGATTGCTTTCCATCTTTCGTTTCGAACAGCATGAGGAACGAGTTTACATTTTTTTTTATGTTTTAATTAGAGACAAACGGTTAAATTATATTTTATTAAATATAGGCGAACGTATTTTAAAGTATGTTCCACGGTGATATCATCGTAATTAACACCATACGTGTATTTGCATCGCAGATAACAAAGCCACGTGCGAGTAAAATTGAATATATTACTCGCGCGAGTGTAAGCGTTATTAAAAGCACAGAAGATTATATCGTGCCCTGCGTTTTCATCGACATATCACGCGTCACGTCTTCTCAAGTTTCGCTGCCATACCGCGGCGGCGTATGGTCTTAATTAGCATCGTATATATTTATATCAGATAAATGAGATAAAAATCTACGTGCAATTAAATGCTTAAAAATTTGACACTATTCGCGCGAGTATACTTAACAGCGATGACTGAAGACTTCGCACGTAATTAACAAAATTAGCATACATAGTTATATCAAAGATGATAAACAATAAAAGAAGTGTAGGTATGAATCGAGTTTCAGCAGAAATATTGTAAACAAAAGCAGATGATAATCTGGCGCGGCGCGGAGCGGCGAACCGTGGAAGAAAAAGAAGACAGGCCGGGAGGCAGGAGGACGGCCGACCCTCGTAAAATTATCGTACTTTAATAAAACGTGTCGTGCAAAACGCGAGGATAACGAGAAAATATAGGGTTCGAAAGACTCGTGAAATTTATAGAGCGATCGCCGCGCTGGCGCGCCGGAGGAGGAATCGCTTTTTGGAGTCGCGCCGTTCGGTTCGGTCGACTCTCCCGAGTTGGCCCGTTCTCGGCTATGCAGCTACAATAAGATCCCGAATAAATCAGCTGGATGTTCGTGTCTCGAGCGGACTCGGTAGCTCAGCGGATAAAGATTCGTCGCGCTGTAAAAGAACCTTTAGCGATTTCGTGGAGAAAATCGCGCAGCGAAAAGTCGGGGAAGTTTGAACATGGCAACAGGTGTCCCATGGAATATGCGTTACGGTCCAAGTTGGAAGTCGCAATCATCTAAGGAATACCGAAGAAAATCACATTCGATAGAGATGCATGAATCTCTTGATAGTCAAAGTCTTTTAAATCAATGGCTTTACTTCCGATATTATAAATAAAATAGATGCCATGTTAACATTTAATTTAATTATTATCCGATTATAGTCTGAATTGATCGATATGTCTGAATAATCCGAGTATAATGAATAAACGCCAGCGTCAACTATAGCACAGAAAACCATGCATGGTACATTTTAATTGGAATCGCAGGTACAATAATATATAAGCAATTTGCTGTGACTAAAAACAAGTTAAAACATTCTTTTTTTTAATTTGCCTTTAACATAATTTTTCAGACGAGACGTATGCGAACTCAGTCATTTTCTCGCGCGGATTGCGTCTCGTGTTGTTCGCAAGCAGTCTCAGCGAAGTTCTTTTTCGGCTCAAAGCAAAATCTCTTAGTTCAAACAGCGGCTAATTCAGCAAATTAAGATAGCACGACAAGGAAAGTAGCGAGCGAGAGAAAGAGAAGGAAGCAGCGGAGCACCAGTTTAGTAGCAAGTGTTGTAAATTCTCGATTCTTTAATCTCGGTAAACCTCCAGCGTTCCTATCATTCCCCGACCGTCCCCCGGAGACCTGACCCACGGTCTAACGAAAGATCGCGGTACTCCTCGAGGGCGTCTTGCGCACACACACGTACACACGTCCACACATACACACACACGGCGCGTCGGGGGAGAGCCTCCGAGCAGTAAATCTCGCGGACAAACAATCATAATTTTCGAAGAGCTAACAAAAAGCAAGAGACTCTTTAAAGGGAGCCGATGCCAGGCAACATGAAATGCGGCCGCCTCCGCTTCTCCAATTGTTTCGTGGTTTTCTTCCCCTTCCTCTCGAGTTCTCCTCGTTCGCGTTTCTTCGTTCAACTCGACCCTTTTCTTCCCTTCCTCTCTTATTTTCACCGTTCCTATACCCTACAACGTATATCAACGTACACGATTCCTCGGTTGTCCTCTGTTCTCTCCTCTTTCTCCTTTTTTCCTCTTTCTTCTTCGTCTTTCCGATTCCTATTCCGTCTTTCCTGATTTCTTCATTTCTTCCTTGCGGTATTCTCCTTCCTTCGTTACATCTTCTTGGTTTCTTTATCTCCGTTTTTATTCGCTTTTCTCTTGATTTTTTGATTAATTGACACAATTCTCTCATCGTTTTATATCACGTTTCCTCGCTCTTTAACATTTTGATTTATAAATTTCTAACGGATTTTTTTTTTAAGTGTTTATTTTTTGTCTAATGTAAAAATCCATTTTTTTTGTTCTTAAGATGCGCTCTTCCTTATTTTTTAAATGTTATAATGTTTAATAATTAACCGGAATAATTATTAAAAATTAAAAAAGACCTCTTCTACAAAGCGATTATGATGCGATATAGCATAAGAGACGTAAAATATTGCATGTTTGATTAGCATTCACGTATAACAAGATAATTTTGTTAATTATATCGTAAATAAAAGTATTACGGCAGAATGCACTTATATTGTATACATAGATCAAATAAATATATTATATTTTCATTGCGACAGCTAAATCCAAACATTCCATGCGTTTATAGAACAGCGTAAAACCACGATAAAAATCAGATACCGTATATAGAATGGACGTAGAGAAACGGCGGTAATTTCCGCGAGAAAAAATAAAAACGGGAGTAAGGAAGTGACATAATCTCGCTCAAGAACCTTCCTGTCGAGAGATTGAGGTCGAATTCCGGGAGGTCGACGTTCGTCGGAATGATAATTTTCGAGTAGCCACTGTTATCCGACTACAGACGATTTAACATCGACGCGTTAACGTAAAATACGATGTTAGGAATACAATTGCGGCAGAGAAAATCGACAACCCCGAATCATAATACGAAATGCAATGGGACAGAAACAGTATCAATATTTAGACAATTTGTCGTGTGGCAATAATTTCTGCCTAATCGATTTGCATTCGAACGTAAAATGCGCGTTGTCACACTTCAGTGAGTTTTTTAAGTGAATTTTTGTGCGACAAACCCCGCGAAATCGTCAGAAACAATTCTACGAGCTAATTTCGTTCTCTCGAGACGCGCTTCAGAACATGGAAAGCTCGTGGAGCTCAATCGGGACAAGGAAGCTGCCAACTTCTTTACAGCTTGTCGTGCAGCAACCCATCACTGCTGTGCGGCATAATTCAAGTACATTGTCGTTGTTTCGGCCAAGAAAAGTTTATGGACGATGCTTATTGGCTATAAGCGACGTAAATAAATAGCAGGAATGCGGAAAATAACGAGATTTGCGAAAGTTCGCGCCAGTAGAAGCAACTTCGTTCATTTGTTTCAACATGGAATAAGATACGAAATAAGTTGACAACTATGGTTAGTGTATACATTGATAGTTTCACAAGAGACAAACTGCTGATTCGTTAAAACTTTGTACAGTAATTCAATGTATGTTTTAAATGATATTTTTGTGTGTAGATTGTTTAAAAAAAAACACAAAAGATTTTAAGAAAAATCAATTATCATCCAAAAGATTAAATAGAAATTAAATAGATCAATACACTAATTCAATAAATAAATAAATTATTGTACACGCATCTTTTTTGTAAATAATTTTACACGAAAATGCCAAATTTTACTACAACGCGTTTCGATCGGAATTCAGATATTGAATAAAATAAAAACTTTTTTCCTTTATACAAAATTATCTCGGAACTGTATACACATCAGAATTTCGCAGCAGTTTTTTCCACTCCTCGAATTAACGCAGTAAGACATCGATTAATTGCTTGTAAGAACCAGACTTTACCTCTTGCTCTCTAGTTGGTATCTCCGTTCCTGCCGCGAATCACTCCCGTCAACATCACCATAGTTCTGACGTGCGTTTCGACGATGAGATTCGCGAACCAGTTATCGCGATTATCCACACTAATTCACCCTCGACTATCGGCTCCAGAGTTCGCTCACTTAGAAAACGTGACAATTCAATGTCGTTCGCGCACCAAACTCGCGGAATCTCTGCGATCACTCACACCGAACGATCCAGATTCGAGTCTTCGAGACTATCTTCTTGTTACGATCAATTCTTGTTACGAGGCTCTCTAAGACTTTTTCGAGGAGTCCTGATTCGCGAGGAATACGAAACACGCGCCAGATTTCTTCCTCCTCGAAATCTCCCACTGAGATCACTTCCACCCTCATCGAACACTTCCCGTGCCACCCTGAACACCGGCACTTGAGATCCTCGAATTCTGGGAAGCATTCAACCGATCATTCGGCATTCTCGATCGATTCCTCATAATCTTGTCAACCCGAACGATTACCCATCCTTCCAACCAACCACCATTGATTTTTGTCCTGGCGGCCAAATTTCATGGTGCACTTATTTTAGATTTAATTTGTTGATCTAAGAATATCACAAACTTAAATTAGAATGCCTATTTCGTCATGATGTGAAAGGAGGATTGTTCTCTCAAGAGGTCGCGAAAGGTGACAGTTTTGTAGTAATGGCACTACGTAAACTTAATCAAGGTCCCCTGTTAAATATTCACCAGAATTAGTGACAAGTGCGTCGTTTCCTGTTTGTCCGCGTTATCGCGATACTCCAAAACTGTCGACGAATCCTCGTTGTTTCGAGACGACACGCGCGGGTTCTCCACCCGTGAAACTCGGTACCCGTGTGTCTTCGATTCTCGAGGCTGTCTAAGCACCCGCGACGAAAAGGGAGGCATGCGCTCGCGCGAGCGCGCGCGCGTTTGCTCAAGAGGGGGAAGAAGTGGGGGTGGTCTTCCAAACTCCGCGTCCGAAGAGGGCGGTTCGTTTCGCGTCTTCTTCAAGCTCGCGGAAATTCGCTCGCCACGCGCTTCTACCACCACCCTTGACGGCAGAAGAGGGTCGCCACCCTCGCAATGATAACAACTGTTTCGTCGCCTCCAGAATCTTAGGGTGGTTCTCCAGCGAGCCCAGAATATCAGACGGGAGAGTGCGCGTGGCTCGACTGGCGCGAGATGACTGAACCCCTCCAAAGGGTGAGAGACAGAGACGGCGGAGAGGGGAGGAACAGGGGGAAAGAGAGGGAACGCGCTGTTCTTCCCCTGGCCCCTCTTTCACCGACAGAGAAAGACCGCGGACTTCGGGGGCCCCCACCAATCTACCATCCATAGGTTGCCCCACCCCGTCGAGAACAGTGACGCGTCGCATTCTCCCCGCCTTCGCCCGTCGTTCCACCGCCTCCCACCCCCGACAGTGCACGTCGCTGCCTCTTTCCCGTCGGCCCCCGACGTCGTCGCGGTACCACCACACGGCTACGATGACGATGACGGGGGCAAAGAGACGGAGTTCTGCCACCGCCGAGCAACTCCTTCCTCTTCTTCCGCTCTTTGGCCGCTGTCGCACGCATTCGTCCACCGGCTGGCGAACCGCACGCACCTCTCTGTACGTTGCCGTTGAGATGCTCCTGCACGCGCGAGTAGCTGGGTGGTCTCGTGGGGGAGTAGTTTCGCGAAAAATGTTAACCCTTTACCCTCTCGTTAACGAACTGATTAATAAAATTATTTCGGAATAGTGAATAAATTATTTCCATTGTCATGAGAGAATAATGTATGGCACATGACGATGTAAATTACTGTCATATCATTCTTAATAACTGTCTCTTAAATTTATTTTCAGCAACAAAAGAATTAGCTCAACGTTTTCCAATTTTCTCCCCAATATAACATGATTCTAAAACAAATTTATTTGTGACGATATCATTTTAGCACTCTTTGCTTATTGTAAGATTTCTTTGTACGTCTCGCGCTAAACAATGTTCAACATTACAATTTCGTTATATGACGAAAAACAGTGATACAGAAAGAGACAAAACTATACTAACTCAATACAATCATCACGATTCGCGAACAGCAAGGGACGAATACAATTTCGGAGTGCATTAATTTTCCACCCTTGTGTAGAATCACCCCGGCATAGGAAGATTCCGCCGACCAATGACGTCACTCGAGTGCCCTCGAAGGACACTCCTACTTTTTACCCCCGCAAAGGTTTTTACAATGCTGTCGATGCTTATCGCCGATGCGTTACGCAGGGCCCGCAGGGGTGACGATTATTCGGGGTTTCTATGGACGTCGCTAATTGAGAGAAAACGAGGGATGCTATGGCGTCGCAGAAATTGGGTACGATCAAAGAATTTTGAAGGAGAACAATAATTAGTTTTCTAAATCTCTAAGCCTGAATCTCTCGAAACTTTTAAGATCTTATCATACCTTACAGCAATTAACATTATTATGATATATATGTATATATATATATATATATATATATATATGTAATATTATAGTCTATTTTCAGTATTACATTATTATGACCATTGATTCGTTAAATAAAGAAAGTTGGTTTTATTTAACAAATCCTTCAAAAAGATAGTGAGAAAATATTGGAAAGAAATCGGCAAAAACATTCGGTAAACAGATAAATAAGTGTCCATTGGAGACTAGATAATATATAATAGACTAGATAATAAAATCCTTGAGTTTTCGTCGGTACGTGTTGACACAGCGAAACGAAATAATTAATTCCTGTACGTTTAATTACTATTCTATCATGCTTAACGGTTTGTAGATCGCTTTTAATTACTGTTCGTTCATCGCGCGAGTTTCTTTCGTCAGCTTACGGAGCAATTATTTCATCGACAGAGACTTCCTGTTCGAACTCAGCGGGCGGATTGATGGGACCGCATTAGCTAATTAGAATCTCTCGCATTCGCGATAAACCAGAATCATGTTGTTATTTTAATGAAAGGCGAGAAAAAAGAGATTTATGAGAAACGGAACGCCGACCAGAATCGAGGATTTTTGCCCGCAGCCACAATGACCGTTAGAAAGATCTTTTCAGATTGCAAATTTGGAACTCCTTTTTTTACGGTCATTATCTGTAACGATCGTCATTAAAGCGTTCCACAAGCGGTCGATTATTACACAGGAAATACTGTGAAGAAATGCGCAACTATTAGTTTAATTTTCTAACGCCTCGTGAGTTCGATGTCTCGGTGTTCAGAAATCGCGACGACTTTTTATTGCGAGCTTTTGATGCCATCGAGCTGGCTCTAATGAATCTCATTGATTCAATAAACGAGTGTATTATCGCCGAGTACGATGGTTGGTTCTAATGGGATTTTAACCCTGCACTGCATGATTTGTTGTTTTGACGGTGTGGTCTTATTTTCGTTAGATCTAAAATAGACACACTTGGAAGCTTTGCTTACAAAGTCTCGTTTCTACGGCAAATAATGTGAAAATAAATTCCGATTAGTAAAACAAAATGCTTTCTGCAATTTGTACGAATAACAAATAAAAAAATATTTCGAAACGTCTTACGAGGTGTCTTCCGTCATCGGTCGAACAAACTCACGCGCTGGAAGAGAAAGATCGGAAGCGGAGCAGTGACGGCCACGTGTAGCGCCGGCGAACAAAACATTAGCAGCGCGAGTGTCGACGAGGGAGCATGGGCATGGAGGGAAGGCGAGTCGAGTCGAGGTAAGGCGAGGTGAGGCGGATGTAGTGCTGAAAGACAGCGGGGTCGTTACTTAATTCCATGCGTTCGCTTAAATAGAACGACTTAGACTTAAGGTAGTCTGCAAAAATGAAGGAACAAGCCGTTGTAGGAGAACCGGCGACTTGTTCGTATACGCGTACATGCGTTCCGCGAGAGAGAAAGATAGAAGGGGAGAGCGTGAAGGTGCGCTCACGCGCGCGCACGGATCCCGCGACGTCGGGGGTGCCTACTGGTTTTGATATACGAGCACACTAATACACGCATCGAACGGCGTTACACGCGTGAGTCATATCGAAAACCAGTCTCGCCGAGAGACGCACACGCAGACACGCACATCGGCGAAACAGGCGGCGCGGAGCGGCGGGAACGGCGAGAAGAGCCTTTGAATATTTCAGGCGTGCTCGCGAGGCGCGTGCGTGTGTGCCGTTACGAGGGCGTGTGAGTAATCCCACCAGTGTACTCCTCGATCCGGGGACACGCACGTGAGATTAAAATCCGCGGATCGTGTATGCGTGCGTGTGCCCGGTGCCGGTTATTAACGCGAGCATCAATGTGTGCTGCGCGCCGACTGGATTTGTTATCCGGTTTCGCGAAATTGTTTTCTGAATCCAGGTGACAATCGATGATCGCGGGGGGACCTGTCTCGTGACAGTTTTGATCACGCAACTCGTAAAAGTATCTACTTTTCCGTAATTTCGAAGGCCGTACCCCAAAGGAGTGCCTAAGATGACCATGACATTTCGAAAGAGCGTTTAGTATCCCGAACTTAAAATAGTAGTATAACTGCAAGAATTAAGGGGAAAGAGAATAGCATGATCATACTACGTATATCATCGTGATATTATATTTTAATTTAAGCCCTGACATCGTTTACGAAAGCATATTTCTATGTCATAACATCAAGCCAATAACCAACGTCATAGAGAAAGTTATTTGGTTCTCTATGCTCCTTCGTCCGAGACCAAGTCGGTAAATAATACGCTACCGTGGGATGCGATTTTCGCAGGCGTGATTATTGATCGATGTGATCGTGACCGCCGATGCGGATTTCTCCATTTGTTTAAGGAGAATAGCGAGCGTGATTGCTTTGACGAATGATGGAAGGTAATACGCGAGTAATGGTTTTACTGCGAGAGCGGACGAAATTGCATGTGCAGGCCGGAATATAAGATCGCGCAATGCACCAAATACAAGAGACATATTAAATGTATGAAATCTTGACGTAAACAAAAGTGAATTTATACATTTCCAAATTGTGCCAAGAAAATATCGTTATTAACACGATGGTTAATTTAGTTAAAAATTAATTACCATATTGTTGCACATATGTCTACGAGTCTTGATAAAGATAAACGTGAGCAAACCTTGCATGACTTTTTGAAAGACAAATTCTTAAAAGTGACAAAAATCATTGGCGAATCAATGTGCCTGCAGAGATTGACAATGCGAGCGAGACAACGCAACGCCAGCGAAGCGAGCGCGGCTGAAGCATGAAGACGAGCAGCGTATCCACCCACGACGTGGCGCACTGTAACGAGGCTACAGTCCATTAAGTGCGTGCGGCTATTATGGCTAATGCATTACGAAGCGATAAAAAACGGGAACTATAGCGCAGTGCTCTGCCGCTTGTGCGCCCGCGCCCGCGCCCGCGCTCGCGCACACTCTCGAGAACCGGACCACATTCCATGTCGGACGAATACGAACGCCGCTTCTCGATGCATTGCTCGGAGTACAACGCTCGTAGATACTTACGCCGACGACACGCGCACCACCGCAAAACGCATCCCAGACCCGCCATACTCGCGACGTTCAGTCGCGACGTTCCGTCCGATTTACACGGTGTTTTATGCGCTATCCGAAACACACCTTTAATGTTCATTATACCTGTTCTTCCTGAGAAAGTCTGTTGCACTTAGAAAAATGAGCTACATTTCAATATTTCTGTTTAGATTTTAATTCCGTCATTAAAGTGCATTGTACCTTTAAATTTTTAATTATCTCGATTTTTTTTTTTTTTAATTTTTGAAATAAGAAATTGATGAAAGAAAACAGACTGTTAAAAATGATTTGTCAAGATGACATCTGGTTTACCTAGCAACCCTATAAATGAGAAGAGACGGGTTAGGGGGAAAGAATGTAAACGCGGAAAGAATACAACGGAGTACGGTAAAAAAGACGAATGGCAACCCTTTTCCCTTTCCTGTCCCTCGCACGGAACCACGGAAACTACCTTGGAAATTCGACTCTAAAAATATTCGTCTTATGGAGTTTCTCCGGTTTTTTTGACCGCGCTGCTCCCTACTCCCCGACTCTCTTTTTTGTTTTCCTACCCTCGGGAGACGCGCATCAACCATATGGCCCGCGAGGGAGAGATAAAAAATTCATATTTTCACTGGAAGGGCTAAGACTGAGCGGTATTTTTAAACTTTGGGGAGTGCGTT